TGGGGTGCCCCACACTTGCCATGGGGCACCCCACAGAAAACATAGGGCACCCCACGGTCACTCTGGGGTCCCCTACGTTCAACATGAGGCACCCCACGGGCAACCTGAGGCGCCCCACAGCGGGTGTGGGGCACCCTATAGAATGTGGGGGGCACCCAGAATGTGTGGGGCGCCCCACACTTGCCATGGGGTGCCCCACACTTGCCATGGGGCACCCCACAGAAAACATAGGGCACCCCACGGTCACTCTGGGGTCCCCTACGTTCAACATGAGGCACCCCACGGGCGACCTGAGGCGCCCCACGGCGGGTGTGGGGCACCCTATAGAATGTGGGGGGCACCCAAAATGTGTGGGGTGCCCCACACTTGCCATGGGGCACCCCACAGAAAACATAGGGCACCCCACGGTCACTCTGGGGTCCCCTACGTTCAACATGAGGCACCCCACAGAAGATCTGGTGCTCCCCACAGGCAACGTGGGGCACCCTATAGAATGTGTGGGGCACGCAAAATGTGTGGGGCGCCCCACACTTGCCATGGGGCACCCCACAGAAAACATAGGGCACCCCACGGCCACTCTGGGGTCCCCTACGTTCAACATGAGGCACCCCACGGGCAACCTGAGGCGCCCCACGGCAGGTGTGGGGCACCCTATAGAATGTGGGGGGCACCCAGAATGTGTGGGGCGCCCCACACCCACACACCGGAAAACGTGGGGCACCCCGCAGCGAGTGTGGGGCACCCCACGGTCACTCTGGGGTCCCCTACAGTCAATGTCAGGCACCCCACAGGCGACCTGAGGCGCCCCACGGCGGGTGTGGGGCACCCTATAGAATGTGTGGGGCACGCAAAATGTGTGGGGCGCCCCACGGCAAGTGTGGGGCACCCCACAGAAAACATAGGGCACCCCACGGTCACTCTGGGGTCCCCTACGTTCAACATGAGGCACCCCACAGAAGATCTGGTGCTCCCCACAGGCAACGTGGGGCACCCTATAGAATGTGTGGGGCACCCAAAATGTGTGGGGCGCCCCACGGCAAGTGTGGGGCACCCCACAGAAAACATAGGGCACCCCACAGCCACTCTGGGGTCCCCTACGTTCAACATGAGGCACCCCACGGGCGACCTGAGGCGCCCCACGGCGGGTGTGGGGCACCCTATAGAATGTGGGGGGCACCCAGAATGTGTGGGGCGCCCCACACCCACACACCGGAAAACGTGGGGCACCCCACAGCGAGTGTGGGGCACCCCACAGCCACTCTGGGGTCCCCTACAGTCAATATCAGGCACCCCACAGGCAACTTGAGGCACCCCACGGCAGGTGTGGGGCACCCAGAATGTGTGGGGTGCCCCACAGTAAGTGTGGGGCGCCCCACAGAAAACATGGGGTACCCCACGGTCATTCTGGGGTCCCCTACGTTCAACATGAGGCACCCCACGGGCCACCTGAGGCGCCCCACGGCGGGTGTGGGGCACCCTATAGAATGCGGGGGGCACCCCGAATGTGTGGGGCGCCCCACACCCACACACCGGAAAACGTGGGGCACCCCACAGCGAGTGTGGGGCACCCCACACCCACTCCGGGGTCCCCTACAGTCAATATCAGGCACCCCACAGGCAACTTGAGGCACCCCACGGCAGGTGTGGGGCACCCAGAATGTGTGGGGTGCCCCACAGTAAGTGTGGGGCGCCCCACAGAAAACATGGGGTACCCCACGGTCATTCTGGGGTCCCCTACGTTCAACATGAGGCACCCCACGGGCCACCTGAGGCGCCCCACGGCGGGTGTGGGGCACCCTATAGAATGTGTGGGGCACCCAAAATGTGTGGGGCGCCCCACGGCAAGTGTGGGGCACCCCACAGCAAACATAGAGCACTCCACAGCCCACGTGGGGCCCCCCACAGTCAACGTGAGGTGCCCCACGGAAGACACAGAGCACCTCACAGGCGATGCGGGGCACCCCACAGAATATATGGGGCACCCCACAGAATATGTGGGGCACCCCACGGCGGCTTCTTTCCCACAAAGGGGACGGGGCGGGGGGGGACAGGACAC